CTGGGAGATGGGGAACAGAGGTGACAGATAAACTTCCACCAGCCCAGGTTGCTCCAAGCCCCGTCCAACCTGGCCTTGGACACTTCCAGGGATCCAGGGGCAGCCACAGCTTCTCTGGGCAACCTGTGCCAGGGCCTCCCCACCCTCCCAGCCAGGAATTCCTTCCCAATATCTCATCTATCCCTGCCCTCTGGCAGTGAAAACCATTCCCCCTTGTCCTGTCCCTCCATCCCTTGTCCCCAGTCCCTCTCCAGCTCTCCTGGAGCCCTTTAGGCCCTGCAAGGGGCTCTCAGCTCTCCCTGGAGCCTTCTCTTCTCCAGGTAACACCCCCAGCCCTCCCAGCCTTTCCTCCCAGCAGAGCTGCTCCATTCCTCTGATCAGCTTCCAACCAAGATGATTTCCCCAAAATGAACATATTCCAAAGTTTAAGACTCAAATTTAGATGTTTTCCTTTTCAGCCCTAGAATACAAGTACATAAAGTATTTTACTGCCAAGTTCTGTGTGTGCTCTGCTGTCCAGTGATCTGGTTAGCCACCAACACAAGACAATATTTCCCTTCTGGAATCATTAAAAATACACCCTTACCACTGCTCAACTCAAAGAAAGTATTTCTAGGTCAGTGAAACCCACATTCTTTTGTATAATTCTTATGAAAGGACTTCAAAACAGGGTTCAATTTTAAACCAGTGAAACCCAGAGAGTTCTGTTTCCTCACAAAGTTTTTTGCCTTTCCTTCTTTTTTTGTAAAATCAGACGCATGGAATGACCATGATGTTTCAAAAAAGACCTTTGAGGCAAAAAAATGACAGTTCCAATGTCTTTAGGTAATTCTGTCTTTTTTTCCAATTCCTTAGGAAAGCTGGGGACAAAGTCCTTTCTCAGTGGGAATGTGTCCTTTTGGGGCCGTTCACCAGCTCTGAACAGGAGGCTCTTTATGCCCTGGTTTATTTTTTTGCTGCATGAACTCTTGGTCAGCCTTATGTTTGTTTTAAGGTGTTCTCTCCATTTATCAGACACAACCAGACCATTCATGGGGCAGCACAGGCCCTGCTGTGTGAGATCCCGGGATGGAGTCGCTGCACTGGCAAGGTTGGATTTCCAACGGGAGACTTTCTAACTGCAAAGGCGTTTTTGCAGCAGCTGAATATTCAGCTCAGCAACCCTGAGCACATCCCAGCCAGGGGCTGAGGGTTCCTCTCCTGCCTGGATGTGCACAAACTTCATTAAATATGGATTTAAGTGTTGGGCAGGGCTTGGAGCAGCCTGTCTAGTGGAAGGTGGGACAAGATGAACCCCAGACCAGGCTGGGATTCTGGGATTCTGTAATTAAAAAAACCAGTCTGTGAACGTCTCCTGAGCTTGAAACCTGGGGAAATTGCAATCCTGTGGCTTTTCAACACCCCCCCGTGTGTTCTGTGGCTCCCCAGGAGGAGAGACGGCCGAGATGCCGGGCATGTACCCGCCCGGGGAGTACGACCTGGCCGGGTTCGCCGTGGGGGCCGTGGAGAGGGGGCAGATGCTGCCCCAGCTGGACAGGATCTCGGATGGGGACGTGCTCATCGGGGTGGCCTCCTCTGGGGTGCACAGCAACGGCTACAGCCTCGTCAGGAAGATCGTGGAAAAGTCCTCCCTGGACTTCTCCTCTCCCGTTGGTGCCTCTGGGGACCAGACTTTAGGTACTGCCTGGAGCCTGAGCTTCCCAACACTTCACACGACTCTTTGGGCTGGGCCTTTGCTTGTGCAGCTTTTCAAAGGCACCAGGAAAAATGAGTTCCATCTTTAAGGTGTTTTCGTCTTCTTTTTGTCTCCTGTGGGTCACGTGTGCAGGAAATAAATGGAGGGAGGGGGATAAACAGCTACTTGTGTGCTAAGAAAGGCAGAACACTGGGCTTCTCTCTGTAGCACAGTGGGCACTAATTTCCCCCATTTTATGGTGATTAGCCTTTTTTTCTGTGCTGTAACTGGTCTTTTTTCCTCCTCTTCCAGGAGAGCTCTTGTTGACCCCAACCAAACTCTACAGCAAGACCCTGCTGCCCGTGCTGCGCTCGGGCCACGTGAAGGCCTTTGCCCACATCACTGGGGGGGGGCTGCTGGAAAACATTCCCAGAGTGCTCCCAGACTCCTTCGGTGTCGTTTTAGGTGAGGTGACAAGACAGCTGTGGGCAGGTCCTGCTGTTGCTGTGGGTTATGTGGGAGCCTGTGCAGGGGTAGGGGCTGGACATACCTGTCTGGAAATGGCTGAGTCTGGCCTTGGACCTGAACCAGGGCCAGGCAGAACACTGCAGTGTAAAGGCTGCTCCCCACTGACGCCCCTTCCCCTGGTGGTGCTTGGGATTGGATTTTTTAGGATACTTGCATAAAGCAAACAACCCTAAAAGCAATCCCAAGTGAGCTGCTGCCATTTGCAATCACCCACGAAGTCATTGCTAATTAAATGATACTCATGAGGTGTTCAGCTGGCATTCAGGGGGGGTTCTGGGCTCAGATACATCTCCTGCTATTCAGCATAATTCACCCTCACCACCATCTGCTCAGGTGTGCTGGAAAGAGGCTTTCCCAGCTGGAGAAGCTGGGGTGTGGAAAGGGAAATGACTCACTGTAGGTTGTGAGAGTTCTGGGGGTTGGAGAATAAAATAAGGGAGCTGAGATTGAGGTTTGAACTCCAGAACTGCAGGTAAATCATTCTGCCACTTGTCCCCAGTGCCACTAATATGGACCTGTGTGTATATATATATATAATGTATATGTTTGTGTGTATTCACACCTCTGCTCTGGGAGAGCTGGGGGTGCTCACCTGGAGAAGAGAAGGCTCCAGGGAGACCTGAGAGCCCCTTGCAGGGCCTAAAGGGGCTCCAGGAGAGCTGGAGAGGGACCTGGGACAAGGGATGGAGGGACACGACACAGGGAATGGCTTTCCACTGCCAGAGAGCAGGGTTAGATGGGATAGTGGGAAGGAATTCCAGGCTGTGAGGGTGGGGAGGCCCTGGCACAGGTTTCCCAGAGAAGCTGTGGCTGCCCCTGGATCCCTGGAAGTGTCCAAGGCCAGGTTGGAGCAGCTGGTGGAAGGTGTCCCTGCCCATGACAGGGGTGGCACTGGATGGGCTTTAAGGTCCTTCCAACCCAAACCATTCCATGGTTTTGTAGAAATGAGATAGAACCATTTTCAAGAGAACATGACAAGAAACAAACTTCCTGTCCTTGGAGCTCCTTCCCAGTGCCTCGTCCAGTAGCATTTTTGTGCTGCTGGAACTCACCCTCACCCGGGGGGAACTGAGGGCAGAGGGAGACTCTTGTCACAGATTTTACCTCTTCATACCCCAGTAATTTTACTGTTTGTCCATTGGTAGTGATTTCCACTCTTGGTTTGTATTTCCAATTCCCTGCAGATGCTCTTACCTGGAAGATCCCTGAAATCTTCAGCTGGCTCCACAAGGAAGGGAACCTGTCTGAGGAGGAGATGGCCCGGACGTTCAACTGCGGGATCGGGGCCGTGCTGGTGGTGCAGAAGGAGGTGGCTCAGCAGGTCCTGCAGGATGTCCAGAGACACGAGGCAGCCTGGCTCATTGGGAAGGTTGTCCCCCTGCAAAAAGGTTGTTAAACTTTTTTTTTTCCTTGGGAAAATAAGAAAAAAGCAGAGCTGAATTCCCCCTTCTTGGGGATCGGCTGCAAATCTCCTCGTTGGCACCTCCATGACTTTTTTCTTGGGATATTAAATGACATTTCATTCCATTCATCTCTTTCACAGGTACTTTCCTCCTCTTTCTGTTCCTCCCTGTATTTACATGTTGTTTTGTTGGGTTTGGGTGTTTCCTTGTCCTTGCTCAGGCTCCGACAGTGTTCAAGTCCACAATCTGCAGCGAGCCTTGCAGGCCAGCAGGTCCCTGTCTGTGCAGAGCCACCTCCAGGGCAGGATGCAGGCAGGCAAGGTGAAGGTGGCTGTCCTGATCTCTGGAACAGGTGAGGAGCACACTCTTTACCCCCCTGTGAACCAGACTGTTGGGAAGGAATTCAGCTGGGGTTCCAAGCCTGTGGAGCTCTCCCTGGACACTCTGAGAGGCTTCTAACAGGCAGGAGAGGTTTTGCCCTTGGATTAATTTCGGTCACAAACAGAGGATTTTTAACCTCTGCTGCAAACCACGAATTGCATCTGTGCTCAATTCATCCCCAAATCCCTGCCCGTGTCCAGACCCAAACACCCCTGGGGTGCCCTGTGGAACAGCACCATCGTTTCACAGATAGAGCAGGATTTCTTCCTGCTTCCTGATTATTCCCACTTACTCAGACCATCATTCCAGTGCTATCAGTTCCCCTTTCCAAGTGCAGTTGCCAGGAAAGGCCCTGGAGCCTTCAGCTGTCCCAGTCAAGCTCAGTGAGATCAATTAAAGCAGGATTAATGTTACATCAGAGCTGTTTGCTTTGGTCTCCCCCACGTTGCTGCTTATTTAAAACCTCTCCCAGCTGCTCACTGGGTTTGTTCTCCAGGAGAGACTTGACATCCATGAATCCTTTCCCCCCAGGCACAAACCTGGAAGCCCTGATCAACAGCACCAAGAAAAGCACCAGTTTTGCCCAGATCGTCCTGGTGGTGTCCAACAAGCCCGGGGTGGAGGGGCTGAGGAAAGCTGAGAGAGCTGGGATCCCTACAAGGGTGAGCATTTCCCTCTTGGAAAAGCAGCCCCCACTAACTCTGACTCCAGCAGGAAGGTGCTGGGAGTTTTCTGGGATAAGAGGTGGTTGGACAGGGAGCCTTGGCTTTTCTCCCTTGGTCTGTCAGGAATTTGTGCCCTTGGGCAAACTAACATGGGGAAACAAAATGCCTCCTTTTCTCCTGCTCTGCCAGCAATCCTGGTGCTTTGGGGAGCACTTTTGTATTAAACCAGCACAAAACCTTCACAGCCACAGCTTAAACTTTGCCATTTATTTAACTTTAGTGCATTGACACTAAAGGAACATCCTGTTTTATCTGAGTTGAGCTTTAAAATAATGTGGTGGTTCAATTGAATAAAATAGAGAGGTCACACTCAGTGGGACCTTCCACTGACTTCAGGCTCCCCAGCATTCATTCCCTTGGTGTCCATGGATCCAGGGCTGCCTTGTCTCTCGAATTACAGATCAGAAATGATCCTGTTCTGACTTAGAAGTGTTTTCCAGTCCTTTTTCACTGGGAAATTGGGGCCCAAAGCTTTGCTGTTAACTTTAATAATTTGCTAATAGCTTTAACTTTGCTCTTAACTTTGGGATCTGGCTCTTGTTTGGGAGGACACAAAAGTCACAAGTGAAATAAGTCCATGGTGTGCAGGGGAGGAGCAGACATGGAATCACAGAGTCACAGACTGCTTTGGGTTGGAAGGGAACTTAAAGCTCATCCAGTTCCAACCCTCGGGTTTTCTGAGGAATAAAGTTGGAGTGTGGGGGAGCTGATGGTCACCTGAGCAGTTCTGGTGACTCTGGTGGGGATTCACAGGTACTTTTATTTAAGAGACTGGATGCTTTCAGTTATTTGGTCCTGCCTTCTTCCTGCCTAAATTAGGGGATATATCCTGGATGGAAAACACAGAACTCAGGCTGGGGGAGCTGGGGGTGCTCACCTGGAGAAGAGAAGGCTCCAGGAAGACCTGAGAGCCCCTTGCAGGGCCTGAAGGGGCTCCAGGAGAGCTGGAGAGGGACTGGGGACAAGGGATGGAGGGACAGGACACAGGGAATGGCTTCCCACTGCCAGAGGGCAGGGTCAGATGGGATATTGGGAAGGAATTCCTGGCTGGGAGGGTGATGAGGCCCTGGCCCAGGTTGCCCAGAGAAGCTGTGGCTGCCCCTGGATCCCTGGAAGTGTCCAAGGCCAGGCTGGACGGGGCTTGGAGCAACCTGGGCTGGTGGAAGGTGTCCCTGCCCATGGCAGGGGTGGCACTGGGTGGGCTTTGAGGTCCCTCCCAACCCTAACCCAGCTGTACAGTCCCTGCCAGGACTCTGTGATTCCCTGGGTCTGCACTGGGGGCTGCTTTAGGAGTTTGGCATCGGCCTTTTTCTCAAGGTTTTGTGGTGCCATTTTTGCCAAGGTTCAAACCCCCAGAGGCCTCGGATGGGCTGAGCTCTGCGGAGCGCCGGGGCCGCTGCCCTGGGCCTGCCCACGCCCAGCTCCTCTTCCTTCCGAGGGTCCCTCCCGTGGCTGGGAGCAAAGAGGGAATGTTTGTGCATCCAGGAGCTGTTCCTGCTGCTGGGGCTGCCCGTGCCCACGTCCCTGTGCTTGGTTCCAGGTGATCGAGCACACGGCCTTCCCCAGCCGCGCCGACTTCGACTGCGCCGTCGACCGAGTGCTGCGGGAGTTCTCAGTGGAGCTCGTCTGCCTGGCGGGGTTCATGAGGATCCTGTCGGGGCCCTTCGTCAAGAAGTGGGAAGGTGAGCCCAGCTGGGTGCTGGGGGCATTTAAACAGCAGCACTTTGTCATCAGGGAAAACACGGTGCAAGAAAGGTGGAGAAAGGAGCGGGTTAGTTCTGGGTGTGCAGGAAACAAGGAGATCTCCGGGGTCCCCTTCCAACCCAAACCCTGCTGTGATCCCATGAAATGAGACCCTTCCACCCTGTAAGGAAAAGGGTGAGAGGAAAGGCAGAGTTTCCCCCCTTCCCTCTCTCATTTGTGCAGGGGTTTAAGGAGGCCAAGGGCGAGGACGGGTCTTGTAGTCCTTGATTTATTAGAAAATATTTAAAAAGAGGCTGTGAAGACTTTAGAGCTCTGCAAACATGAGGTGCAGGGCAGGTGTTGGCTGGGGAGAGGTGATCCTCCAGCCCCTGGGAATTCCTTCCTGACAGAGGAGCTGCTTTGGATCTGTGTAAACCCACCAAATTGGGCAGCACTGCAGTTTGGGATAGCAGAACCTGGCCAGACCCCTCAGGAGCTGCCTGAGGCCGTGAGTGGTGGCAGATCAACTCTTGTTTAGCCAGAATGTTCACAGTGTCTCCACTCTGCTCCTCTTCTACAGTTTTTCCAGGTCTTTGAGAGGCTGGAACAGCTCCAGGGGCTGCCCTCCCACCCCTGGTTGTCCCCTTCCTCTCCTCTCTCCCTGTTCCCTCCAGGGAGCCCTGAACACGCAGAGCTGCTGCTCTTTGCTCTGCTTTGGGCTCAGGGTTGTTCAAGCAGCTCCTGCTCAGAGCAGTCCCTGCCTGGGCACCTGGACCTGGCAGCTTTTATTGCTCACATGGTGACTTTTGTGTTCCCCTGGGTGTGTCTGGGACACTTCACACCTGAACTACTTTTCAAACCTCTCTTTGAAAGCAGTGGAGCAAAGCAGGTGTTCCTGGGGCCATTCCTGGGGTTTGGGAGCTGTGGGGGGAACAGGTTTTGGTTGTCCATTCAGAGCCCAGGAGGTGTCAATGCCCATGGGCAGCTGGGATTAGGAGAGAGAACCCCTCACTCAACAGATGTGTCTGGAGTGGAGGGTCCATGTGGGGGATGGAAAAGAACCTCCTCTAGAGCAGAATCTCATGCAAATAAAGGGTTTAGTCCCTTCTGATTTAGGGACAGAGCTCTGATGGTCGCCCTGCACAGGCAGGGTTTGCTGTTCATGTAAAACTGAGAGCAAAAGGAAAGACCTTCTGAGTACAGGGGGGTTAAACTCGTTTTTTGAATGCCCAGCACTGAATGGAGCTCTGGTAAAAGCTGCTCCTTTTTTCTTTCTCTCTCAGTCACAAGGACACGGAGCGTGAAGGGAGTTGTGAAACTCTCTCTTAACAGCTTGACAGTGTTACTGATGAATGTTCTCAGACAGGACAGAGTAAAACAAACCCCAACAAACCCAAGCAGAGGGGAACATTCCTTTGGAGCAGCTTCTGATGGGAAACTGAGGCAGAAGTGCAGAGTGGGGTTTTCAGCCACTGCCCCTGATGTTTTTTGACTCAAGCAGCAGGTAACCCAGTTTGGTTACCAGTTTTAAGCAGATGGTGCTGCTTCAAAAGGGGTTTTGTCTGGGCTTCACTCTGGGCCAGAACAGGCAGGAGGAGCTGTCACAGAGGCAGCAGGAGCAGAACAGGGGAAGGCTACCAGAAGGAAAGGTTTCCTCCCAGTGGTGAGGGCACAGGCTGCCCCTCTCCCTCCCACAATCCCAGAGTCATTAAGGCTGGAAAAGACCTCCAAGATCACCAAGTCCAACCTTTGACCAACCTTTACCTCACAGCTAGAGAGGGACTCAGATTCTCCCCCCTCTCAGGGCAGGGGAAGGTGGGGGCTCCCGGGGTCATCACCACCTGGTTGGTCCTTGGAGGTCCCATTATCCATTTTGGGATCCCCATGGAAAGCAGTGGCAGACACAGGTGCCTTTGGGAAGGGCAGAGAGAAGGGCTCCTGTATGGAGGAGCTGTTGGGTTTTATTAAGCCAAAACAGGTATGGAGGGAAAGTCCAGGCTGAAGAAATGTTGCCTTGTCCTGGGGGGTCTGTTGTGTGGTTTGGAACTGCCCCAGGTTGGGAGAAAGATGTTGGAGTGGGGGGGGGTCAGGCTCTGCTCCCAGGGAACAAGGGACAGGAGAAGGGGAAATGGCCTCAAGTTGTGCCAGGGCAGGCTCAGGTTGGACAGGAGGAGGAATTTCCTGCTGGAAAGGGTGGTGAGGCCTTGGCAGGGGCTGCCCAAGGAGGTTTGGAGTGCCCAGCCCTGGAGGTGTCCCAGGAAGGCCTGGCCGTGGCACTCAGTGCTCTGGGCTGGGGGACAAGGTGGGGATGGGGCACAGGGGGGATCCATGGGCTGGGAGGGCTTTTCCAACCTCAGGGATCCTGGGATCAAAGGAGAACAAGATGCTGAGGGAAGGGACAGCTGCATTGATAAATCCATCATTATTAATCCCTGGAGAAATGTCCTTCAGCCCCCGGTACTTGGGAACCAGCGAGGCCCCCGAACACTTTGGGTGTTGGATCCCAGTGCCACCAAAACTGGTGAAAACCCCTATTCACGAGTGATTTGATGCCTCTGTTGGTTGTGGGGCCTTGCACACCCTGGTCAGTGCTGAGGGCCAGTAACCTCCCCTGTCCTTTTGCAGGGAAGATCCTGAACATCCACCCGTCCCTGCTGCCGTCCTTCAAGGGGGCCCACGCGCACCGGCTGGTGCTGCAGGCGGGCGTGCGCGTCACCGGCTGCACCGTGCACTTCGTGGCCGTGAGTCCCTCCCTTCCCCCTGGGCCCCAGCTCCCAGCAGCCTTCCAGGCCCCGCCCCAGAGCCTCTTGGAACACCCCAAACCCTCGAGTCTGACCCCCTTCCCTCCTTCGTGCACTCAGAGCAGTCTGTCTCTGCCTCACAGGGATTTTAGAGATCAGGGCAGGGCTTAGTTTGCTGTCCCTGCAGAGGGGACTGGAAATGAAGAGTCTGCCCGGGAGTTTAAGCTTTCCCTGAGGGAACTTCTTCCCTGAGCAGCCCACTGCTCCCTTCCACCCTTTGGAGTGGGGGGACTAATTCATGTAAGGCCTTGGCTAAGCCGAAATCTTTATTGAACACGGCCCCAGCTGCTTGGAGTTTATCCTACAACCTGCCTTGGTTGTTGCTTTCAAAATAAAGGAAAAACTACAACAAACAAAAAAACCCCACAAACAAAAACCAAAACACCACAAAAGAAAACCCCCAAAAATAAAACCCTGAAAAACCCACTGGAAGTGTCACGAGAAGCTGGGATTTTTATTTTTTTTTAAGGAGTGATCCCATGTTTGTGGGAACAGGAAAACGTGACACTTTCTGTTGGTCAGAACTTCATCAAACCAACCCCAGAGGTGTCTCAGCTTCAGAGACACGTTTTTATCAGGCTGGAGAGCCTTTGTTCCACTCTGTTCAGCTCAGGGGAACTCGGCTCCCCTCCTCCTGCTCCCCCTTCCACTGCTGCTGGAATCTCTCCTCAGGATTTTTCCTTTCCCTTGGATAAAGAGGCAGAAATTATTTTTCCAGCTAGAAGGGAAAACTGCAGCCCTTCCTCTGGGCCCTGCCCTGGGGTTTCTGTGTGTGGCAGCGCCCTGAGGAACAATCCCTGACCTGTAGGGATCTTCCCCAGGGAACGGCTGGATCCCTGTCCCAGCTCCGTCCAGGGCCTGGCTCATTCCCCCCTCTGGATTGAAATGCCACCATCCTGCCCAGTCCAGCCCCTCCTGTCCCAACAGGGCTTTTGGTGTGTTCTGGAGCACAGTGGTTGCTCCCTGGAGTTCTGCTCCCTCCTGCTTTCCCTTGAATCTTTCCCGGGCCAAAATCGGCTCCAGCGCCTTCTCCGCCCTCCTGCCATCAGCCCCACCCGGTGTCCCAGCACGGTGACACAGTGACACGGTGACACAGTGACACAGTGTCCCTGAGGCAGCTGGGCGTGGCCGTGTCCCCCAGCCAGGCCCTTCCCTGCCAACCGTGGCTGCTGTTCCCACAGGAGGAGGTGGATGCCGGAGCCATCATTTTCCAGGAGGCGGTGCCGGTGAAGGTGGGCGACACGGAGCAGACGCTGGCGGAGCGGGTGAAGGAGGCAGAGCACAGGGCCTTCCCTGCTGCCCTGCAGCTCGTGGCCAGCGGTGCTGTGAGAGTGGGGGAGGCTGGGAAGATCTACTGGAAGTAGGAGCAGCAGCACGTCCATGGATGTCCTTGGAGGGGACAGCTGGGGGGCCCTGGCTGACCCACAGCACGGACAGCGTTCCCTTCACTCCCCTCATGGCCTCACAGGGGTAAAGATTCAAATAAAATCCAGAGAAAGCCACAAACGGGAATGTTGAGGCTGTTCCCAGGAGGTGCAGCAATGGCTCTGGTGCTTCCTAATCTGGTGCTTCCTAATTTTAATCACTTCCTTGCCAACGTTTCGGGTGTCTGTCGCTTTCCTAACAAAGCAAACCCACCCCGGTGGTTCCAGAGGGGGCTGAGCACTGACTGAATGGGGACAGCAGGGCTGCTCTAGCAGAGCCACAGGCTGGGACAGGGCTTCTCCTGGGCTCTGCTGGGAAGTGTCTGGGGGAAAAGTACAATGGAAGAGAAAGGCAGAAACTTTCACTCATAAAAACCTCGGGCAAACCAAGAAAAAACAGCCTCCCAAAACATCAGCTGTTGGATTTTTTACCGTCTGGTTTCTGGTTTGATGGTGGTAGATCTTGTCTGGCCCAGTTTGATCTATCCTGGAATTCCAAGCACTGAACCTGCTGTCAGTCAGATGCCAATGGGATTCAGTGTGTGCTGCCCGTTCTCCCTCAGCATTCCCACATAGCCCAGGAATTCCCCTCAGAGATTTGTCCAGCACCAGAACAGTCGGGTTGCTGGGTTTTTTAAATGAGCAGAAAGACCTGACACAAAACTTGTCCTTGGCTTGTGAGACGTTCCTCGGGAATTCTGGAGTGCCTTTATTCTTGGAGCAGTGTTTCCCCCTGGAGTGGCACTGATGGACACCCAGTGACTGTGAACATGGGAAAACAATCCAGGTCTTTGTGCAGCTCAACACCTGTGGTTTTCTTTTAATATTTTAGTACAGTTATGGAACCATTTTAATGTACTCACTCAAGGAATCAGGCTTCCCTCCCACAGAGGAGAGGGAGCTGAGGATGTGCTTTACAGCTCCCCCTTAATACAGAGAAAGCTGATTTTATTCTGGGCTCTCATGTCCTAATGGTACTTCCATGTTGGCATAATCTCCTTTGGATTTGAAATAAAGTCTAATAAGGTAAAAAAAAAAAAAACAATCAATCTAAAACTATTTCCTTGGAATTCCTTTACCAGGAAGCTGGAGGAGTTTGGGAAAGGGGATGTTCTTGGAAGCAGGGCAGGGGAGGTCACACAGCCTCGGTGCTGCTCCAGGCAGGGGAGTCAGGAGAAACAGAGGCTTGGAGGGGTGAAATCACTGCTGTGCAGTGAATAAATATCATGTTAAATAAGCATCACATTATTGATCAGAGCAGTTGGGTCACTGCCAGAAAGGCAGGACACACAGAGGCTCCAAATCCAGCACCCCTCTGCATCACCCCCCAATCCATCACCCCCAATCCATCACCCCC